TGTTTGGAAAGGAGAATTGGCAGCCATGCAGAATAGGGAATGTGGAGATAGAAGGAGAGTGTAACAAAATGGCTGTTCACTCAACAGTTGTACTTGTGAATGGGGAGCAGGACAAAGGGGGCTGGTAATACCCAGGAAGGAAGCTAGTACTGTCCGGAGATATGGATCTGATTGAGAATGTGCACTTGGGACAGGGTTATACAACTATTAGGATATGAGAAAATAATCATTCTGGGAGCAGAGGGAAGGTTGAGGGCGCTGGAATATCTGGAGAGAGGCCTCTCAGTTCTGTCTGAGATTTTATACTTGAGGGTATATATTAGTATTAGAGTTGTTGCAAGGGTGAAGCTAAGTAAATATCCAACTCAAGTCTCTGTTTTGTCAGGGCAGAGAGTTCAAACTATAGCCACCATATTTGAGAAGGACATCTGGTACATTTTGTGATAGGTGATTCTTACAGAGGAGAGCAGGTGAGAAATGGAAACAAGATGGCAGCCCATTAGATATCTGCGCCTGTACAGTAGGAAAAGAAGTTTGTAGCACACTCTATAGAGCTTTTTTTTTAACCTTTCTGAGAAGCAGATAAGAATAGAAAAAATGCCTAGCTGAGAATATGCACTTGGGACAGACTTCTCAAACTGTTACGGTTGGAGGGGCAATAAAATTGGGCATGAGTAATGACATGTAAGAGAAGAGTGAGCCAAAACTGCAGCTCATATGTGGCAGAACTGGATTTAAATTAGTGTTCTCTGCCACCAGAATTCCTATTCTTAACATTTTTACTGCTGCTTTTCTCAAGTGTTGTTACCAGGACTAGATGCATCAATATCATAGAGTACTTTTTTAAAAAAATATTTATTTTTCTGTTGTAATTGGACACAATACCTTTATTTTCTTTATATGTGGTGCTGAGGATCGAACCCAGGGCCCCACACATTCTAGGCAAGCACTCTACCACTGAGCCACAACCCCAACCTCCCCACAGAGTACTTTTAAAATGCATATTACTGGGCCATAGTTACTAAATTAAATACCTGTATTTGAAGTCCAAGTTTGTCCCTACTGTTCCAGAAGGTGGCAGAACCTGGTACTGGCAAATGACTTCCCTGTTGATAGTAGCAGCACATTTTCACAACCCCAAATTGATGAGAGGAACTGTTGGGGACAAACATAATTGAGGATGAATTATCCTGTGAGTTCATTTTTATTTTTAATGTGTCCCCCAAGGCATCATTTTCCAGCTATGATCAAATGTAATGGATTCAGCTGTCAGTTACAAGTCACATATCCCCATGAAGTATGTTTACAATCCAATGTGCTCACTTGTCTAAAAGGCAGGATGAGGGGATGGGGGTGGTGTGAGGGCAGATTGGGCAGAGTGGGGAGCTATGCACACTGGGGCAGGATGCCTGACAGAGAGTTCTGGTCTTTGGCCAGGTAGCTCCGCAAAATTGCAGGAAAATTACTTCAATGAGACATCTTTTGAACTGAGCCCTGCTCAGCTTTTGGCTTTTTAAAATCTGTTATGAAGACAGAGAAGTGAAGAACAAATTAGCACAGGGAATATAGGCAGAAACTGGGAAAGGAGCCTCAGGGAGAGACAGCTGTTGAATAATAATAAATCTTTGTTGAGTATTTTCTATATAGCAGTCACTTTATGTGCACTAATCTCATCGATTGTTGGAACAGCTATGTAAGATACAGTACTAATATTGTTTCCATTAAAAATGAGGTAACTAAGGTACAGAGAGATCAAGTAACATATCTGAAATCACACAGCCCTTAGGTGGCAGAGCAGGAATTTAAACTTAGGTCTAGGCTGACTCCAGAACCTATTCTCTTAAACCATCATGCTTTGCTGTCTTTTTGGATCTAATACCTGCAAAATGCCTCGTGTTAAGAGATAATCTTGCCCAAAGGCAGTCATTACTAGACAACCATCAATAAAAAATGGAGCCTTTAAAGGCTGATAATCTCTCTGATCAGTGAGAAAAAGTATTGCCAGTAACTGACTATATGATCTTGGGTAAATCACGTTCCCTCTCAGGGCCTTAGCATCTACCTCTGTAGATCTGTAATAGGGAAGGAATAAAGTAGGTCATTACAAAGTTTCTTTTATGACTATATCAGATATCTAGGATGATCTTTTAAACACTATGGAAGTCTCTTCAGATGGCTTGCCCCTTGGGGAATGTAGGTTAAGGAAGCTGAATATTCTTTTTTTTTAATAGTTTTGTAGTTGTTGATAGACCTTTGTTTTATTTATTTATATGTGGTGTTGAGAATCGAACCCAGTGCCTCACACATGCCAGGCAAGTGCACTGCCACTGAGCCCCAGCCCAAGCCCCAGGAAGCTGAATATTCTGAAACAAATATATACATTGAGCACATAATATGTACCAGGTGCCAAGGATATAGAATCAAAAATAAATATGGCTCTTGCCTTCAAGGGATACACACTCTAATGAGGAAAACAGATTACAAGCCAATATGAAGAATATACATTACAGGGTATTTTAGTCAGTAGGCTAAGCATAGGGTGTTATGGGAACCATGATGAGGAGAATATATCAGCTAGGGCATTGGGGATGATGAGGGAATGTTTCAGGGAGGGGTTAATTTCTGACCTGATCTCTGCATGATGATGCCTGAGGAGCAAAAATACTAAAGGAGGGAGGAAGGTTCCCCCCTGCTGTGCCAAGAAAGGCACTTGGCCAACAGTAGTTCCTGCTTGAGAAGTCAGAGTTCTTGCCAGTCCTGGGGATCTGAAAGTGGAGGTTGGAAAGTAGAGCTGATGTTCTTTTATAAACTTGTGTTCTTTTCTCCTAGTCTCTGTGGGAAAGCTCAGTCTTTATTTACTCTTCCCACAAAGGGTAGACACTGTGCAGGAAAAGGCTTAGTTTCTTTTGCAGTTTTGTCTTAACCCATTGTGCATACTCTGGGCTGCCTCCTCATAGCATAGAATTTTAGTTTATCTGTGGTGAAAAACGGGGGTATTGTTTTACTGCTGCTGGACAAATTCCAAAGCCTAGAAAAATCTTTGAGCCACCAGTTTCATTTCCTGTAAAGCTATGAGACAGGCAAGAAAGCTTACTAATTTTAAGTTTTCCACTAAAGGGAATTTTAAACCTTCATTGGTCATTCTTTGCAGTTCTAAAACCTTCCTCACTATCATTTAGTTCTCTCCATTTCCCTATTTAAGCCCTGCTCACTTATATTTTAAGGTCCTCCTCTTCCTCCATGGCTTCACTAAGTAGCAAGAAAAACTGCTTGCCATGTGCACACTAACTTGGAGAGTACTTTGAGATCTTCTTCCTAAAGAACACATCCTGAGGCAAAGAGGGCTTCTGAGCTTCTTAGCATGTAGATGGAATCTACCTCAGTTTAGAAAGAGGTGCAAAGTGAAGCCAACAGTCCATGGAACAGCCTGCCTTTCACTGTGCCACTGATCACCAGAGCTGTGGAACCTATAAGAATGCTATTCAGGCATCATCCACCAAGTGCCTGAACTGTGGCAATTCTGCATCCACATTAATGGCAGGTATCCCTGTTGTGTGTTTTGGTATGGCACCCAGTATATTGGTCTTACAATTAGACCTTCTTGGTTGCAAATAGTAGAGACTCCTTGATTTGCCTCAATGAAAAGGGAGTTTATTATAACAAGGAAATAAACATTGGAAACCCATCAATAAGGGCTTTTCTTTTCTCTTTTCATGGACAATAAGAAAATTTTCCCATGGTGTGTTTAGTTCATGTCACTTTTCTATTTTAGTCTCCCCCTCTACCCATCAATTTGTTTAGCTGACCCAGAACTGATTTTCACCCATAACTTTGAATTGAATCTGGCTTTGGATTATATGATTCTACCTCTTGGTGTTTCTTTTGCCACTATCTGTTTATTAGCTCACCATCCCTATGTTTCTCAGTTAAAATTTTCAGAAATAAGAATGTGGTCCAGCTCCTCTCTTCATGCCAGACTATAATGTCACCCATTACTGACCACCCAATGAATTTGGTTGTATTTTTTCATCAGGTGCACATTCTTGACCCAATTTTCTGTGGCTAAAGGCAGAATAGTGTGATAGATTCTAAAATGTGAAAATGTAGGCAGTAAAAAAGAGCTATGGGTAAGGCAGTTGCCCTTAGAAGACAGTGTTGCCAAGCAGACCCAGATTTGTGTCTCTGGTTAGAAGAATAAGATTTCCACTAAGATACCACAGAGTTTCTCTGTAGTTTCTAAATGGCCTAAATCAAAGGAGAGTAAAGGCAAGGGGCATGATAGAAGGTACTAGAAGCCAAATAATGGAGGGATGCTTGGCTTGAAGCTGATATTATTTTTTTGAGGAAGAGGGAGTGTTTTGCCCTGATCAACAATCTTTTCAGTGTGTACGCTCTTCATAGATCTCAGTTTTTTTTTAATATTTATTTTTTAGTTCTCGGTGGACACAACATCTTTGTTTGTATGTGGTGCTGAGGATCGAACCCGGGCCGCATGCATGCCAGGCGAGCGCACTACCACTTGAGCCACATCCCCAGCCCCAGATCTCAGTTTTGACTGCTAATTCTGTGTGACAAAAATTATGACCCACTTATAGCTAGTAGGGTCATAAATGACACTTAAAAAAGGTTTGATTTTAGGAAATAGTAGTGATCATTACATTGTTATTTTCTTTAAACCAGACCAACTTAGAACAGGATGGAGAAGACTTATAAGTTATTTATCAATAGTATTAACTGCAAAATATGTATTGACCTGTCTCAATTTCTAATACTACCCTTCCTTTAGGAGATGTCTCCTGAAACGTCTACTGCACTCTACCATCTATGATATGGCAAATAAATCCTTTTGAGTTGGCAGTATCAGAGGAATTTAGAGTAAAACGAGAAGAGGAAGCTCTGAATGGGGAGGCAGAATTTGAGCTGAGCTCATTCAGGGGGATAATGGGGTAACAGAAAACCTGTTGTATTTTTTGTACCTGTTTTTATGTTTTTCTTTCCAGGACTCCTGATAAGCTCAGGCTGTGCATTATATCCTTTAGGATGGAATAGCCCGGAGATAATGCAAACATGTGGGAATGTCTCCAATCAATTTCAGTTAGGTAAGGTGGCCTGGGCAGAATGGCAGTGATGATTCATGGGAAATCTGTTTTTCTAAAGTGCTTTACCTCTTGGAGGGACCTCTTCTTGGTAGTGGTATATACCTGACTCTCTCATGCTGTTAGCTTACAGAAGGTGGTGGTTTCGCCAGACTTATCTGGCTTTGCTAACTTGTAAGAATTGACTGTAAATTCCACTTATTTAAGTGCTTTCTACACTGTTTATGAGTTTTTGCTCAGAGTTCATTGACAAGTTTTGGATAACTTTATTTAAATGGGGATTTAAAATACTTGGAGACTAATGATCTATCATCTTCTGAATAAGTCCTAGTTACTATTAATGTTTTGTTCTAGCACTATTTTCCAAATATAAATCCACAGTATCTCTTACCAATCTCCACTGAGGATATAAGAAGAGGTAATTTATTGTACATGAAGCATAAGGAACCCAGATGGTTCCTAATGGCAAAGGCTATTAAATATTAGAATAGGTGACAGATATAACACTCAATCATTTTCTGGTTTGCCAAATCTGAGTATGGCTTAGATTTACAATTATGAATTGGTCATAGATTAGCCTCTTATTGGAACACTTCAAAACATTTCCCCAAACTATCATGATGGAAGAGAGTAGGAGGAGAGATGTCTAAGTTTTCTTGAGTATTGTCAGTTATAGGAAAGGATTTGGGAACAACAGACCACCCTCTCGCACAGAATTTATGCTCTAATACTTCCCTTTCTTTCTATTGCATCAGACTGTTCTAAGTTTTGTCTCACCTGTGTTTGGGAAGGATTGGTTCTCTGTACAAACATTATATGAGGGCATTGTTGTGCAGAAGATGTGACAAGTTTGGATGCTGGGATGTTCAGTGTTCTTGACACAAGATAGGGCTGACTGGTAAATAAAATAATTCTGCCACAGGAGAAGGAATGATGAAATATTTGGGGCAGTGGTTGAAGAAATTGGAATCAAGCCACTGGTCCTGCTAATTGGGCTATGGGAACCTGAACATTTAGCCCACTTTTCCTACTTGATTATTGGACTTATAATTTTACTTATTAAAAATAATAGATTTATATGTCAAGAGCTTTGTAATGTTGTGAACAACCAATAAAAAAATAAAAAATTAAAAAAAATAATAGATTTATTGATATATATTTCACATACCATGAAATTCACCCTCTTAAAGTATGAATCAGTGATATTTAGTATATTTCCAAGGATGTGCAACCATCACCACTATCCAATTCCAGAACATTTTCATCAACACAAAACAAAACCCCTTATCAATTAGCAGTCAGTCCCCATTCCCCTCTGCCCCCATCCTCTGGCAAACACTATCAATATGGATTTACCTATTCTGGACATTTCATTTAAATGAAATCATACAATGTATTTTGTATATCTTTTTTTCACTTAGTATAAAGTTTTCAAAATTAATCCATATTGTAGCATGTGTCTATATTTCTTTTCATGAATGAATAATATTCTATGTATAGCTGGGCACAGTGGCACATGCCTGTAATCCCAGTGACTCAGAAGCATGGAGCAGGAGGATCACAAATTCAAACCCAGCCTCAGCAATATAGTCAGACCTTAAGCAACTTAGTAAGACCTTGTCACAAAATAAAAACTAAAAAGGACTGGGGACATGACTCAGTGGTGAAGCACACCCAAGTTCAATCCCTGACATAAAAAAATTAAAAATTTTGTGGTGTAACTATAACATACTTCATTTAAACATACTTGGGTTTTCCCACATTTTGGCTATTATAAATAGTATTGCTACTAATATCTTTGTGTATATTTTTATGTGGAAATACATTTTCATTTATTAAAAAGTCTATTATTTACCCTCATTGAATAGTGTTGGTATCCTTGTTGAAAACCAATTACCAATAAGTACAGAGGTTTATTATCTCACTCTTGGTTCTATTTCAATGATCCATCTATATCCCTATGCCAGTACCACACTGTCTTAATTACCATAGTTTTGTAAGTGCTGAAATTGGAAAGTGTGAGTGATCCTTCTTTTTCAAAATTCTTTTGCTATTTTGGGTTCTTTGGATTTACATGTGTTTTTTTTTTTGTTAATCTTGTCAATTTCTGCATAAAATCCAGCTGATATTTTGCTAGTGGTCAATCTGTACCTTAGTTTGAAGAGTATTGCTATTTTCTGATTTAAGTTTTCCAATCCATGAACATGAGATAATTTTCCATTTATTTAAGCTGTGTTTAGTTCCTTTTAATGATATTTTGCAGTTTTCAGAACACATTTCCATGTCTTTGGTTAAATCTATTCCTAAACATTTTATTGGATTTTAATTTTTTTATTTTTAATGACAAATAATAATTTCATATATTTATGGAGTACCACGTGATGTTATAAATCAGGTGTACATCATAAAGTGATTAAATCAGGCTAATTAACAGAATTATTTTCTTAATTTTATTTCCAGATTGCTTTTTTTAGTGAATAGGACTTCAAATTGTCTACCTTACTAAACTCTTTTATTAATTCTAATAATTTTTTTGGTGTATTCCTTAAGATTGTTTAAATAGAAACTCATATTACTTGAGAAAAGAGAAAGTTTACCTTCTTCCTCTCCACTCTGGACGCTTTTTGTTTCTTTTCCTCTCCTGATTGTCCTGGCAAGAACACCTAGGAAAATGCTAAATAATACTAGTGAGAGTAGAAATCTTTGTCTTAACCCTGGTAGTTAGTACTAACTACCCTTAAACATTGATCCCTTCAATCAAGTTTATGACAAAATTGTTCTTTTTCTTTTTCTTCTTCTTTTATTTATTTGTTTGTTTGGTTTTGGTTTTTGTTTTTGCAGTGCTGGGAATCAAACCCAGGAATTAATGCATGCTAGGCAAGTGCTCTACCACTGGGCTATATCACAGCCTTCTCTTTCTTCTTTTACTTGATTTTTTAGTGTCATTTTTCTTTCTGTTGCTTTCTCCTTCATTAGTTATAATCTGTCCTGTACAATATGAGATCCCCTCTCCTCAATGGACTGGATACCATGTTGTTCTGTGAATTCCTAAAAATTAAAGGACTCAATTAGGATTTAGTCTTTGGTGGACTATCTTTGAATTCTTTCAACTTCCAAAGTGTCTCTCATCCCTCCAGTACCTTCATTTGCTGATTATAGTTTCCAATTTCATGCCCCTATTATTAGCACCTTTCTGACAGATGCTGAAAGGAGTAAAAACCCATACCATCCTTGATTCTTTTCTGGTAAGCTGCCAAAACATACATGACAGTTTCAGTTGTAACAGTTGTTCTCTTGTAAAGTGGAGGTGCCAGAAGAAGCAACAAAATAAGGGATAGAATTAAATAAATTTTTATGGTGCATTAGTAATTTCATACTTAGGAATAACCAAGCTTGGGAATGTCAAGAGTAAAAAATATGGTATTTCTCCCCAGACATTTCTTTAATGTTCTGGGTATTCTCGTAGTGCGTAAGCATCCTTGAAACACCCTAGGTATTGTGTGGTTGGATGACCGAGATAGGGAAAACTTATCCTGAGTGTGTTCCTTTTTCCTTACAAGGCGGCATGTTGAACTGAAAAATCATAGGCCTTAGCATCAAGGACCTTGACTGGTATCCAAGTTATGCTACCTAAGCTGTTTCATGGGAGTAAAGTTGCTTTTTTTGTGTCTCAGTTTTCTTCTCTGTAAAATGTGATAAGTAATAATATTGGTTTCAGTATCATTGTTAGAATGGAATAATAAAAGTTGTATTATTAACTACCTAAGGCACTACAATGTTTGGCTCAAAGAAACTGGCAGCCTTTAAAAAAAAACAAAGTAATGTACAAGGAAATAGATTATGAACTGATAGCATTTACTTTGACTCTACTGTAGACTCCATACTCTATTATGTGTTCCTTATTTTGGAAAAGGGAGATGCAAAAAGCCAAAAACACATGGTGCCTTCCAGAGGAACAAAGCTCTTTACATGACTTGCTTGAAAGAGATGAGGAACTAAGAAGGAGAATAGAGACAGGCATTATAAATCAGTCAGAGGAAGTAAAATAGATTTCTCACCCTGACACTCTGTGTTATGGTTTGAATATGCGGGTGTCCACCCAAAAGCTACTGTGTTGATGTAAGAACATTCAGAGGAGAAGAGATTGGATTACAAGAACTGTAACCTAATCAGTCCATCCTAGCTTGAATAAACTGACAGGGTGGTAGCTGTAGGTAGGTAGGGTGTAGCTGGAGGAGGTGGGTCACTCGGGGTGTGCCCTGGAGAGATGGATCTCCCTCATGGCCTCTTCCCCAGTATCCCTCTCTCTACTTCCTGGCTGCCATGAGGGGAGCAGATTCCTTCCACCACACTCTTCCCCCATCATGTTTTGCCTCACCTTAGGCCCAGAGAAATGAAGTTGGCCATATATGGACTGAGACCTCTGAAACCATGAGTCAAAAATTAACTTTACATCTTTCAAGTTATTCTTTAATTTAATTTATTTTAGTTGTAGATGGACACAATACCTTTATTTTATTTTTATATGGTGCTGAGGATCGAACCCAGTGCCTTCCACATGTGAGGCAAGCACTCTATCACTGAGCTACATCCCCAGCCCCTTCAAGTTATTCTTCTCAGGTATTTTGATCACATTGACAGAAAAGCTCACTAAACACTCTGATAAGGCTTCCTATATCCTCCAGTTTGAAGGGGTCATATTCATGTTGTCAACTACGACCCCCTATATTTCTATTCTAGTTATACTAAACCAATTGTGTTAGTCAGCTTTCCATTGTTGTGACTAATACCTCAGAAAAATAACTTGGAAGAAGAAGCATTTATTTTGGACTCATGGTTTGAGAGGTTTCAGTACATGGTCAGCTGGTTCCAATGTTTTTGGCCTGAAGTAAGACAGAAAAAAAATCATGGTAGAAGGTCCTGGTGGAGGAAAGCTGCTCAGCTTATAATAGTTGGAAAGAGTGGGGAAGGGCCAGGAAGAAGATAAACCCTTCCAGGGCAGC